TAATAAAAAAAACAAAGTAAAAAGTGTCTATAAAAAAAAACAAAGTAAAAAGTAATTAGATTTTAAAATCAAAAATAAACAAGTAGCTCACAAAACATAATAAACTTTATTTATTTTTTTAAAATTCCATTCGTGAGTCATTTCACAATAATATATTCACACCATTTAAATTTTTTGTGATATATATATATATTGACCAAAAGGAGTACCGCTTTCAAAAATTTTAAAAGCATGCATTGAAATATTTTTTTTAAAAAAAGTACACATGTATCTCAATAAATACATATTATCAAAATATTATATTAGCGGATAAGTGATTCAAAGCTCATTGGAATTACTTATTGACAATTAAAAATTCATGATCAAATTAATATTAGTTTCATATTTAAAAATTTTGAGAATATTTTATATTCTTAAAAAAAAAAAAAAAAACTTATATTGCTGTTGTTGGTATATATGGCCAGAAAATAACAAATTCAAACAACGCATAGCTTATTCAGCTAATGAATTAGATGTTATTCATTAATGAAATCATTAGGAACAAGAATTATATAAAATTTACGATTATTACAAAGTTACAAACTAAATAGTCTGAATTGAAGCCTATAAGTCTAGCTACCCAAATGAATCCAAAACGTTCTTACACAAATAGGATCGAGAGACTTGTTCTCACATGGTGCTGTCGTTGGCAACTATAACCGCACGGCACTGACACTCTTTCAAGTTTCGAGCTTGAAGCAAAAAGGTTGAGAGAAAAAGTCTCTGAACAAGAAAGGCAATAGGGTACAAATTAATAGCAAAAGGTAACAATTTTCAAGTACTAGTTCTCTTTCTTTTTGAAGATCTAGCGCATTGGTTGGTTATATTGCTTACACATAAACATTTTTTTTTCTTATTGAAACTCCATGTCTACAGGGACAACAGAGCATCAAGTTCCTCCACAAATGGAAGAATCAATTGTTCCAAAACAAGGAGGAGGAGAAGAAGTATATGCTAAGATAAAGCTGAGTGAAGCACAAGAGGTAATGGAGGATTTAGAAGAGTGCAAAACCCCTACATGTTCAGGTAATCAGATTCCTGTCGTTCAAAATTGCCCACCAACCCCAAGAAAGAAAAGAAGGCAAGTGTCACCATTTTCATCACACATGAAAAGTTCATCATCGACTGAGTTCAACTATGTAGTGAGGCATGAGGAGGTAGAGTCTTTCTTCCAATCAATGTTCGAGTTCACTAGGGTTAACAAGAGATGTAGAAGTATATGATGTAGTTCTTGGTGGATGGATGATTGTGGGTGTGTATCCTCACATAAATTATAATCATTCAAGTTTATTTGGATTATAATGATCCCTTCCATAAGTGGAAAGAAAGAAGAAGAAAATGATGGATGTTAATAAGTTTGCAATTGAATCGATCACATATCTATATATTGTTGTTTGGCTGTTTGATTTCTAAACATTTTTCATCATCGTAATCTAATTCATATAAGAGTTCATTTTTTCCACATAATTGGCAAATTCGTAGGTTCAATTCCCACTCGATGCACGCCAATGGAACCCCTCCAATAAGTCTATCGGATTTTTGTTCAAGAATGAAATCTTATTGGAACCGTCCAGTTTATCCTTCGGAACCATATCACGATTTGATGAAATAGGATGAATTGAGACGATATTTTGTAAACACGTAATTATCTTGAATATATTAACCATTTCTTTCTTTTTCGATCGCCCGGAAAGAACAAAAGAAACATCTTGTTCTTTCTTCAACAATTTCTGATCTCTAGTGGACCTCTCAGTAGGATTCAACCCCAGTAAATGCAGATAAGTTATCTGTTTTGAGTCCAAAACGATGTCGTATTGGGGCAGAAATCAAAGTGTTTTCGTAATTTTAATTTATTTCAGGATTATAATAGTGTTATTAATTATAATTTTTTAATATTTCAACACCAAAACGACGTCATTTTGAGAGTAAATATAGATAACTTATCTGCAGTAAATGTAGAAATATTTTTCTGTTCATATAAAATGTCATTCGCTTAGGAAAATTACCAAATTTAACTCAACCATACATGTACTATATTTTCATCTTGCCTTCACTTAACTAGAGAAAATTGCGTAAATTTCACATGACCAATCAATATTTGTGAATACCTATGAACAGAGAAATTTGATACAAATTAGAAGATTCATTCCCACTCAAGTGTATAGTCTAAAGACAATATGTTGCGGGAAAGAATTAATCACACCTATATTTTATACTTTCAAGTTTCATGGCCTATTCTTACAATAATTTTGGCTTCGTTCAGAGAATAAAAGAGACGACCCCTCAAAAGGGTACTCACTACTCGACAATTCCAAGTTGGATATCATAGAAACACCTCTAAACTTTTGCTTTAGTTATTAATCAAGGTTATTCACACATTTTGGATGTTTATATTTTGTGTTATTTTGCTTAAGTTACTTGCAGGAATGAAAGAAAACTTTACGAATTGAAATAAACAACTCACCAAAAAGGAAAATAGAAGAAACTTGGAAAGCAAAAGAAGGAAACAAACAACATAGAGAGGGAGGGAAACAGAGAAACCCTGCTCCACTATTGATTAACTTTATATTCATAGGAGTACTCACGCTCAATCAATAAAGCAATGCTATCCCTGGGGACCAAGACACACACCCACGAGCAGCACGAGAATAAAAGCTTTATTTCATTGTAAGCGTGTATGTCCTCGTTTTTCAGCCATCACAACTCATGGATATGGGCCTTTAGATTTCAACATTACCCTCTTGGGCCTTTAAGATGACTATATGTCACTCTTTTCTCTCATCAGGTTGATATGTGAATTGGACACAAAAATGTGGATTGGGCTTGATGTGCACCACAAACCGACGTATTAAATCCAATCTGAACAATTGAATACAACAATTTCTTCTTTTTTATATGAATGGTACCCATTGCAACTAAATGGGATAAAATGTACGTAACTCCCTCTATATATAGGTAAAGAACACCTTCATGTTATTTAAAATAAAACATTCAGTAACCCAATTCTCTAAATTTACTAAACCGTAAAGAGTAATCAATTGAATCCATTGTCATGTATTAAAAATGCCTTATACAGGGAGTCAATATAATAATGAATTTATAGAGTTAAGTTCATAACTTTGATCCATATAAAATATATATATATATATATATTATAACGACCTTAATTACCTTTTTGAGACGAGTCGGTCTTCTGAGAATTTTATAAGTTTTAACTCTTTGAATTGACTATGAGACTAATCCTGTGCAGAGACTTAGTCACAATTAAAGTTTATCGTCACTCTCCAAATATGTATTTGGTGAAAATCAAATATAGATTCTCTTCCCACTCTACTCAACCTGTGTTACCAACGCTGAGAGAATTTATACAATTTTCACGTAATCTTTTACATTCTTTTCCTTTCACGATACTCTCTTGAATAGCAATTGAACCCATACATAAGAATGTCAGAATAACAGTACTGAAATAGTTAGTTTTCCATATCTTTATGGGAGAATAGTTTCTTCTATCATAGGAGAAGTCTACTCTCGTGTTACATACATCAATTTTTGAGTCAGTTTTTTGTTTTTTTTTTACTTTATGATGGAATCCAGCTAAATTATGTCTCTGCAGAAAAATTCTCCATCTCCTGAATGAGAAACTCAAAGTCCTATCTTTAATCTTTATTGTATAAAATAGAGAAAATTCTTTGAAAGTATGTTTTAAGAAAGAGTGTATTTATTCTTAACTTTTAGAGTGTTAAGACTACATTACACTATAAATTAAATCAAAATCAAATAAACTTTTATTTATTTACTTTAAAAACAAATTGACCTAAAGAAACCTTATTTTATTTATATAAATATTAACAATTTTTACAAGAGATTCAATATATAAATAATGTAAAAACAGAAAAAATTCATTGCAAAGTAATAAACTATAGGGACAGTCTCTTAAGACACTACGTCTGACTTCTGGTTCTGGTGATTGATCTTTACCTTTTCCGAATTTGATGGTCATATGAATTTGATGGCCAGGGAAAGTCAAGCACGGTTTTGTTAGTTGTTAATCATTTATTTTGAAGGTGCTTGTGATATATAACTTGTCACCTTAGCTTGAAAACAGGTAAGAGCTTAAGAAAGAAAGTGGTAAATACTAAATAGATTCTCATTAGTCCATTCTAACGAGGTACCAACAGCTAGCTACCAGTTATCTTACCGAAACAAATCCAAAATTTTGGATTAGATACAATGCAAGATTTTGTCAAGAAACGTGCAAAAGTTGTCATGTAGAGACAATTTAATGGTATAGCAGATTAGCAGCCAGACTAGACTAACAATGTAATTCTGGAATTTCCCATTGTAATTTTCAGCTTGGTAAGCTAGTATAAGAGTTGCTGATGAATATCAACATTTATCTGATGAAGATAAACATCTGTCCCATTGAATGCTAAGAATTTAGGACTAATTATTAAAGAGCTCAGCAAAATTCTGGACAAGGGGAAAGAGAATAGATCACTCCCGGGTCTCTTGAGTATCCTATATTGAACAGGAATCAAAATTGAGCAAGGACATATGTTGATCAAGAACTTACCATTAATGTATTGATTAATGTATATGACCAAATTCTCTTAACATCAGACATATAAAATACCATTCTTTGTTGTAAATACTAAAAGGAAAATGCCAAAGCAAAGAAAAAGGGAGAGAAAAGTAAGCAAAAAATACAATATTAAAACTTTTAAAGGGCACTGTGGGGACCCACAAACACAATGGCACATCTATCCCTCCAGAACTTACCATTCACTTTTTAACCCCCACGTATCAACTTCATTCATATGCACTTGACACCTAGTCTCCACATGTCATCATCTAGAACCCCCAAAAAGTTTAACTGGTTATAAATGATACTCATCAATGAGTTTACCTCCCTCATCAACTTTCCATTTCCACCATTGCAAAAAAAAAGCTTCAAGGGTAAGTGAAGGGATTGTTCATGGCTCCAAAGCGTGCTGGGAAGACTGTGGTCAGATCCACCAAGAAAGTTGTGCAAACAAGTGTACAGTTTTCGGTTGTAAGCAGCAGCAAAAGATTAACCCGAGGAAACAGAGATATTCAGACAGGGGAAGAAGCAAGTGCTCTTGGCCAAGAGCATGTGAGGGTCATTCCCGTTCAAGAAGTGACTCCTAAGGATGCAAGTACCTCTACTACCACTACTGAAAACAAAGCAGATCAAGAAAACACTCAAAATGGTCGAGTCAAGAATCAAAAGGAAGAGCAAAATAGTGACATTATTAACGAAGAGCAAGTGAAGAAGGCCAAGACTCAAGAAAGGCATGTTAGTAAAGAAAAAGGGAGGAAAAAAAGGGGAAGAGGAAATGTAGAAGGGTACCAGAGATACGTGTACAAAGTATTGAAACAGGTTCACCCTGACATGGGAATTTCTTCTAAATGCATGACTATATTGAACAATTTCATGAATGACATGTTTGAGAGGCTAGCTAATGAAGCTGCAAAACTGAAGAACTACACTGGACATATGACATTGTCTTCAAGGGAGATTCAAGGAGCAGTGAAGCTGGTTTTGCCAGGAGAGCTTGGGAAGCATGCCATTGCTGAAGGGGTCAAAGCTGTGAACAACTTCATATCCTATGATGCATGATATAGGTCTAAGTCTCTAGAGATAACTCCTATGTTTGAACCTGTGGTATTTGTAAATATAATATAATGTGTTTTTATGTACTATGTGGACTAGTGATGTTTTGTTTTATGTTTTGCTTGATGGGGTTATGGTTGTAGATTACTAACTCTTAAGATTATGACCTTGTTGTTCTGTAATGTTAGTTGCTACTTTGGTTTTTTTGATTTTCTGGGTTGCTTATCCGTAGTTTGGTTTTACACTTCACAATATTCTATTGCACTTGTTTTGTTAGTGCTAGTGCAGCGGTGGGAAAGGAGAACAATTTACATGATGGGCACCAATTCTATTTAACATTAAACGCGTGATGTTCTTAATTTAGGGATAATTGTATTTTTTAACATCGTTCATATAAATGAATATTTATGATAGGTAACTAAGAATTTGTCAAAGACAATGTAGTAACAAAATAAGCGGAATGCGGAGCAAGCATAGTCAGTGTAACTTAATACGCCTACTTATTGGTTGCTGAGTTTAACTTATTTCAACCTTCATTTCATTTTATCTTTCAAATTAAATTAGATTTTTATTAATATATAAAATTATTAATATAACTTCACCTACCAGCTTGAATTGATTCTTTATATAATATTAGAATTCTTAAAATCATTAATATAAATTATTTTATTATATTTGTTTGTTTTCTTTTTTGCTTTTAGTCCATTTTGTTCCAAAACGGTGAATATAAGTTCAATAGTATTATATTGTTGCACTCTGCACGGTGATGATAAATTCATTAATATTATATTGTTACACTATATATACACTGATTATCTGCATATGGAATGATACATTTATGGTGGTAATATGAAATTTTAGGCTTGTATTAACTTTTCAAAACTTATGAAAACATATTCACCATCTTAAATAATTAATTTATCAAACTAGGAATAGTAAGTTATATTGTTTTATAATTGTCTCACCTCCTTTATAAGGCCAAAAAAAAAACACTTGTCTATGTAATTGTTATATGTTCCTTTAAAAGTAGGCTTTTGTATTTACCAAAAAAAAAAAAAGTAGGCTTTTGTATATGTTCCTTTAAAGTTTATTTGTTATATTCAATAATTTATATCCGAATTGGACAGGGCAACAGGCCCAAAAGAACTATTGAGGGATTATCAATTGCGGATATTGGATGGCCCAGTTGAAGATTAAACTCGTTAAATGACAATTTTCATTACTTTGTTACTCGACCCAGAAGATTATGTTTTTACAAAATGCTGTTTCTCCTTTTACTTTCGATGAACGGTACTCCTTATTTAGACATAATATAATTTTAATATGGTTCACATAAACTAATGATCAATGTTGAATGAAGTACACTACATGGCAGTGCTTAGGGAAAAACACTGCCCAGTGCGGGAACAAAATAGTAAAAGAATATTTGCATCTTTGCTCGTGCACTGTCGTCAACATGTTGACATAGTCTATCATGATGTTTTATTCTATTGAAACATAGAAGAAATCGCGGAACAGTGACTCCCCAACTTTTTTATCTATATGTCATGCCAACTAACAGTGTTAATTCTCAATATGTTACGTGAGCAAGTTCATTACAATTAATGCACATGGATGTTTTCACCTGTCACGCCATGTGGCAGATATGGAACGAAGTTCGCTGTCCGCCCTAGCGAACTTCGTTGCATGTCTGTCACGTGTCATCGTGACAGATAAAAACGTGCAGGTGTAATAATTGCAACCAAGTTCACTATTCCAGGTAACGAATTTGATGTCCACTAATAACGTGACACATCAGCAAACTAATCAAATTTACCCATATAACATATTAAAAATTAATACTGTTAACATGACATTTAAGAAAAAAAATTAAAAACTAATGACATTTTATTCATTGTTCCAGAAATCGCAAGAGTATTTACAAGAATTTGACAATGACACTTTGCCACGGTACCAAAAAGAACCTACGGTCATTTGGAGAATCGATAAAGTTGGAAAAAGTTTATTACGATTCGTATTTCATTTAGAAACTGCAAAATTCCCGCAAACTCTAGAGTCACTTATTAAATACGGTGGCTCCCACAGCCATTCCTTGTCACCTCACCGTAACAAATTATTTTTAAAAAATATATATATTATATATATATTACCAGTTTTTAAAAAATATATATATTATATATATATATATATTACCAGTGTTATAATTATAAGTTTATTGTATAGAAAAAATACGTGTCATTTTAAAGGATGTAAAATTATGTCATTTAAGATAGATAAAAGAGGAGAAAGAGTTAACAAAAAAAAAATAAAAGTATAAGTCTTATCTCTTTGTAAGAGTGAAAAAATATAAATTGTGTCATTTAAAAAGATAAATATTTTTCTTATTGTATACACAGCTCAAAAAAGATGGATTATCTTGTAAAAGAATTATTTTTCATATATATATATATATATATATATATATATATATATTCGTGAGTATTTTTTTAAAGAATACGAGTTATATTCTTTTAACGGTTTTAATTATATATTTTCAAAAATTTATAATAATAATATTAAAATTATATTTTTCTTTTCTTTTTACAAACTATCTGATAACACAAAAAATAAAAATAATATAATTTTAATATTATAATCATACATTCTGGATAATACATAATTAAAAACTGACATAAGCTAGTGTCCTAAAAATTACACTCTTTTTTCCATCTTCTATATATGTATATATGTTTGTTCAAGTTGGAGAAAGAAAGTGAGAAACCATACTATCTAGATTTTCTCGACATTGGACAGTGTTTGGTTTGCTGAGAAAACATGGAATTTTCCAATCGCAGGTTGCTCCTAGTGAACGAGGATGTACCCATCACCACATCCATACCCCCTCTTCCTCACATCCACGGCACCACCACCAACAACAACTCATCTTCACCACCGGAATCAATGACGTCATCGTCATCAATGTTTGGAAGGCCTTTGCCACTGCCACTACGTCCATTTTTCACTTCAAACTTAGCCTTCGCCTTCCTCATCCTCTTCGTTGCGCTCTTCTTCATTGGCTTCATCTTTTTGTACATTCGTCAATTCTCCGACACGGATTCATCATCATCCTCCTCCTCCTCCTCCCGCCGCCGCCGCCGCCATCTTTCACACCAGGGTGTGGACCCCACCTCCGCGAAGTCTCTACCAGTATTTTCGTACAACGGAGATGCGAAGCAAATGGATTGCGCGATATGTCTGGACGAGTTCCGAGTCGGTGACTCGGTGAAGATGATTACTTACTGCAAGCACGTGTTTCACAAGGAATGTATAGACACGTGGCTCGCTGCGCACGTGACGTGTCCCGTTTGCCGGTGCACCAAGTTCGCGGATGAGGATGGAGAAAGATCAACGGCTGAGAATGGAGAAGATGTTAGAGAGGTGGGGTCTGAGTCACAGTCATAGAAACGCAGTACAGTATTCAGTACAGTAGTTGTTCCCCGTTGGGATCAGTTGACACTGGAACGTTGCGTACAACATTTGAGTCATTGACATTAATTAAGCTTCAACAACTCATCACACGTGTAAATATAGAAAGTTTATCCACACATTATTTTACCAATTGCCAACAATCTTCATTTTCTTTTATTTGGTTCATTCTTAAATTTTTAAGAAGCTTTTTTAAAAAAACAAATTCTCTATATTATTTTTCTTATATCTATTCGCTATTTCGCTAAATACAAAGGATTTTTAAAGCAACACGTAAAAAACCTGTACTCCTTATTGAAATACTATTACATCCATTTTAAAATATCTAAGGATTGCACTTGCACACATTAAAAAATTATTAAGTATCTTCGCTTAGAAATATATATAGTTATTAATATTATGATATCAAAATAATCTAAAAATAACAATATTTTCTCAACTTGTGGTATGTATAATATAATAAAACTTATTCTCACTGATATTTTATAAGAATAATATTTTTTGAAACTAAATAATTATGCGTACAAACAGAAAATGTCGATGCTAATATAGTTTTGCCACAACGTTATATTACACACATAAAAATATACAGCTGTTTTCCTTTATTATACAAAGTAATTAAGTAACAAACAAAAATGAAAATTATCTCAAATTTTCTGCTTGCAAAATTATATTTACGATATTTTGCATAATTATATTTAACAACCATCACGCTCACCAGTTAACCTAAAAATAGTTTCTTACCATTAAAACCTATGTATCGATATTTTAAAATTTCTGAAGTGTTGTATTCAATATTTCTCAACATTTTAACACTAGTTGCAAAAACTCAAAAAAAAATTCAAATGTTGCATTTCATTTTTGTTTCAATTATTAAATTTATCAGATTACAATTATTATTTTATTAAATTTAATTTAAATATTTATAACATCTTATGTTTCTTTGTAAAATCGATAAAAATTAAAATTTTAACTTAATTTTTTATTAAATTATTAAATATTAAATAAATATGCATTACATAAATTAAAAATATTATCCAATATCAAAATATGTCATGCAACGTAAATTAAAACACTCAAGTCCTGTACCAAAAAAAAAAAAAAAAACACTCAAGTCCTGCCGCATACATCTTAACTTCAATTGCGGCAAAAAGAATAAAAATATTTGAATAAAATGATAGAACGAGCTTAAATCGTTGATTTGAACACTCCTTGTTATCTTTTTCTTATATCCTGGTAGTTATATAATTATTTCGTTCTCTATCTTTAACCAAATTCGTACATTGGATGTTATTGGGTCACTCTCCCAAACCTTATAGCCAAAACATACGCAATTAGTTACGTGGATTAATGAAAGTGAAAACGTTGCGTAAAAAGGGATGTCAATATCTGTTGTCTCACCAAACTACCAACCGAGCAAAAGTAATAAAATTTAAAAAATAAAGAGAACAAAATGAACATTTCGAGAAAGTATTTGATCCAACGAATTCTTTCTAGTTGTGATATGCCATCATTTGTCAAGCAACTTCTACTTATCTGAATAACCAAAAGACTGCAGATGCAGGTTTCATGGTACATCAACATTGGTTGGGTTCATAACAGCCAGGCAAGCCCTCAATCAACTCAAAGCCAAACCAATCTGACTTTGATATGGGTAGCATACAACCCAAATATATGTCTTGACACTTCAGAGCAAACACCATAATCACAAATAATGCCCAGAGATAGGTCGTCATATATGCCTGAAACCACCGTCCAGACATCTAAATTAAAGGACGAAACCTCTATCCCCCAAATCAAACAAAACGTGCAAATCGAAACTTCAAAAACATAACATTTTTATTCATATCAGAATCATGGCCCCAAAAAATTGCCATCATGTGTTCCATTGATGCACTCGACATAAGTACAGTAATCACAGCAACAAACAGATTTTTTTTATAAAAAAAAAAACAAGTACCTGGAAACGTCCAGGAGATAAAGCTTGTTAGAGTCCTGTATTTTGTTAAGTGTGACCTAATTTCAATGTCAATATCATAGTATGCAATAAGCACGTATCACCTCCACCACAGGCGCTTGACACATTGGGCACTTCCTTCTACTTTCGAGCAACTCATCGGCACATTTTGAACATGTACACAAGTGCCCGCATCTGCACCAAAAGCACAACGGTATTCTAAATTTGTAAGTGATTATAATCAGGTGCAAACTAGCTACAGATGTGTCCAACTGATAATGAACAGTACCTGTACAACAAAGAATCAATATTGCTTTCGCAGCAAATACAGCACAGTCCTTTTCTCACACATTCCCATTTAGACTTATCATCTGGTGACTCGCAATCATGTATTCCTGGGATAAATTCAACTTAGTCTTCTCAGTTAGCAATCATTGAGGAAAGTTATTTTTCTTAAAAAACATCACAGGTTTGAGTTGGATGGCCAAGAGGCATGGAAAAAGGAAATATGAAGGGGTAAAAGAAATTGCAAACCTGATGAATCAGCAGAGCGATTTAGGGCTGCAGACACTTCTTGTCTTATTGAGCGCTGCAACTCAAGCTGCATATCCATACAGGCCTCCAGCGTTCTCTGCATATTATTCATCCTTTGCTGTAATCTAGCCATGTCGATTCTCAAGTCATTAATAATCTCCCAATCCTGCCCCCACAAAAAAAAATAAAAACAAATGAGAAAATTCTTTAAATGATAACACATTGATAAAGAGAAAGAAGTTAACAATCTACTATCCAAACGATCAAACATATCAGCTAAGGAAAAATAGTTACAACCCCATAAACGCCAATTATTTCGTACCGAGATATACTTGCATAATAAAATCATCATGAATACAAATAAATTTTATAACATTAACTAATAAAAATCATTTATGGGGTGAATGCCCCATAAAATCTCTTTTCATTATATTGGAGCATATGAAACAAAAAAATCACCAAAGAAGATAAACGCACAATTCCAAGACGGTGATTATTTATGTCATTCTGTGGCCAGTTGTCACGATGAGAGTGCTGATCCCAAATAGGCAGAGGAGGAGGCATAGGTAAAGAGGGCAGGTCAAGTGGACTATTAACAGTACCCTCCTGACCAACAAGCTGATCCCTATTCTGCTGCTCAAGGTCCTGTTCTGCCGAGGCTGAAGAAGGGGTTGTTTCTTGCAGCTCCCACTCAGTGTGAGCATGACCTTGCCTTTCAACATATGATTGTATCAACTGGTCAAGACTATCACGGAAACTGCTGTGAAGGAGGTTTGAGACACTTCTCCTGCAAAATGATCAGAAACACATATGCTAGATTACATCTTTCATTTAAAAAAGTACAGAAACTCTTCACTCGTATTTATATACCTACTAAGAAGTTCCCTGAGTTCAACACTGTACACATTGTCATCATCAGGAAAATAAAATCCATGAACTCTATCAACTGGAGCACTTGCATGATTGGAAGGTCCTCCCAACCAATTTTCCACAGCCTCATGGAAGCCACGATCTTCTTGCCACACCTCAGGAGCTTCTTGCACATGAGAGTTTTCTCCATCCTCATTTCCCAAACTGTTTTCAGGCCACTCATTTGCTGTATTACTGAGCAGATTATCATCCACACTTTCCACAGTGCTATTTCTCCATTCCGTGTTACTCCGATGCCAGTCGCTTCCTTCATTTCCAATATCGTCTTCCAGCTGTTCTTCCAGAGCACCAGATTCATTCCAATTCACATCACCACCAATAGTTCCCTCCATACAATTGTCATGATTTGATGAATTGTTTTCACCATGACTTACATCACCCAGTTGGGATTGCTCATTATGTACCCTGCTGAGTTCCTGAAAATTACTATGCTCTGAATCTTCAATTCGCAAGCTTTGTTGGGAAAGTTCATCAGCAGTATCTTCGGGAGGCATCACATCAACATTTTGCTCAGCACCATCCCTTCTTTCAACACTAAAATTGAATGATGATTGCAAGACGACTGATTCAGTTTGCAAATACTGCAACCGATCTCCATCTGCATGAGCAGTAGAGTCTTGCCAATCTAAATTCTCACATGTTCCTTGTAAACAGTTCTGGCCGCCTGACATCCCAAGTCCATTACTTCCTCTGTTGTTAGGTTCAGTCTGTTCAGAATGTACACTTGGGACCATACGTGAACTGCTTGCTCCATTTTGTTCATTCATATTAAAATCAATATCAATGTTAGATGAGGAATCAGATAGCTTACTGGTTGCTTGAATGCAACCAGTATTGTCCCTTTTAGAGAAGAATCCTTCCCTGTTCAGAAGACAAGTTCATGTCATTAGCATAAAGCAAATGTACAAAAGGAATTAAAATGAAGAAATGGCAAAAATAATAAACATAACCTTCAGTCAGAACAAGGATTAATAGCTTTAAGTGCTATAGTAACACAAGAACAGTTATGGCTCTAACGGGCTTAAATGGATATAGGGTATAGAAGATCATTTCCACCCCTCTAAATGCAAGGAGAAAACAGGGAACGGGTTTTTTTACGCAATTTATTAATTTCATAATCACCCTAAAACAGTAGTTATATTCAACTGCAAAAATGTCATTTCCCAACAAAATCCACACTGTAGAAAGGCACAGTCCATCAACCCCATATAAAACTAGATAAAAATATACTTGACAAAAAACATTCCTTTCTTTGCTTTTCTACTAAAAGAAATTAAAATTTGAAATTTCTTTAAAAACAGAATCGTAAAAAAAGTATAGGCATGTGCATCTAATATATACAAAATTAATAAATTAAATGGTAATAAATTTATCAATTTATTAAACATTTAAAAGAGGGCACAGCAATATTTCAACACAAGCCATTACAAGAAAGGTGTGTGTGTGTGTGTGGGGGGGGGGGGGGGGGGGGTGTTTAGACAGAGAGATCTGAAAGATTTCAGATAAAAACAAATAGTTAAAGGTTCTCATCAACTTAATGGCATAAAGAAATGCATACCTTAGACCTGATACAGTTTGTCTTTGCCTCAATAAACCCAATTCACCTTCTGCAACAGAAGTGGGCCTGTTATTATCAACTGATCTATCATTTCTCAAGAACCTTCCTCTAAGCAATGCCTGCAAACATTTTAACAAACACTCATCAAATAGAGCGCAAAGCTCTGGATTTAAATCAAGTCCTAAATTTTAAATTATGTTTGACTGGATTAGCATTTACAGTATTTCTCTTTCACATTTCCTAGGTTTTCCACACTATTGTATACTTGTATTTCAAATTATTTCTGCATTAGCAAAGTTTTATTCTATTCCTCATACTATATTATACTTTGGATTGTAAAAATAAGTTTACTATGCATACAACGAAATTATCCTACTTCAATTTCACCTAGAAAATTCAGTCTAAAACCAAAGTGCTAACTTATAAGTTTACTGATGTGAATCTTTTATCCAGTTCACAGTAACAAACAGCTAATAACCATCTGTTACAGGAAAAGTGAAGAAATTAAAAAAGATATTCATCATTTACTGGACAAACCTGAATGCGATTTCGATGGGGGAAATGAGATACAGCCCGATGGTCCAACAACTCCTGAATTTCTCTTTGTCTTTCCCTCTCAGCCTTCTTAAGCATATCAAGCATAACCTGACGGCCACATAATTTTCGGATACCCCTCCGTGTATGCTCAGTCTGGCCCTCACTCTGATTGACAACTAATCCATCACGTACACGTTCAATTTGTGTATCTATTTCAGCAGATGGTTCTTCCCTACTTTCCCCAGAAGAAACATTTCTCTGCTGGCTACTCATTTGTACCCACTCCCTTATAATTCTCACCCTTTCCTGCTCAGTTTCTCCAAGCCATTCTCTCCTTGAACTGTTATTTCTTCGGGAAATGTTTGATCCATGATCCCTAGCACCATTATTCATCCATTCCCTGAAAATTTTCCTCACTCTTTCCCTTTCAACTTCTCCCAAGTCAGAAGAGTTTTCACAGCTAGAATTGTTTAAATCTTCATGTTCATCATGGAATTCATTCTGACTCGGTGACTGTGACCAAGTTTCAGACTCATTCCCACCCAAAACTGCATCTTCTACCATATGCCCCTGCCCTCTCCCATGGCTATCCAGCGTATCTTCCTGTGAGAGGTCAACAATTAACCCATCACTCCTTTGTTCAAGTAGAACTTCACCAGGTCTTCCTTGAACTTGACTCTCCACATGTTCATCCTCAATCTCTCGCCACATTCGCAAGAGTGAAGATGACCGGGTGCTTCGCCTTCTTCCATCTCCCCCCCTCCTGGATGACTGGGAATGGGAGTCCCTCAAGAAAGAGGAGTCGAGCACAGACACGCTATGCAGACCAGCAATAGCCATTTCTAGTTTACTTTACTAGCAAGCTTACACATCCATTCAACCCATCTCATTCAAATGCACTAAAATTTGCATTGGGTAACTGGGAAGGAAAAAAAAAACATAAAGGAATTTAGAAACAGATCCTTTATATTTTCATGGATTCAACCTAGATCACCTTTGCCAATAGCATTAACCTCCTTTCCACCATCATCACCACTATTAAACCCAGAAAGGAAGGGAATTACGAACTTCGGAATTTTCAAATTGAAGGTATTACTGCTAGCTATACCTCAACCTGCAACCCAAAAAATAATGATAATAAGGAAAAATAAACTATATGAATCGACGCTCTTTTTTAATTCAGAATCGAAAATATAAATTTAACAATAAGAAGACATATGTCAGAGACTGGCCAAATAAATAAATTGCTACACTAAAATGTCCAGAACTGAATTTTTCCAAATTTTCCATTATTTGAACCTCAGATTCCACAATCACAGTGAACCTTAGCAAAACACGGCCATTCGGGTCACTGCGCAGGAGTTCTTCATTTCCACTCCAGAACAAGATATTCGAAAATTCATTTCTCACCATTTCACTCAGAAACAGAAATCCACCGCAGACAAAGAGAAGATAAAAAACCAAAAACAAAAACAAAAAATTGCAAACGGAATTCAAATCCGCATTGCAAAATACACAAATTTCCGACAGAAAAAGGCAAAACCAAACAAATCAGAATCCAGAGGATTCAGCAACAGAATCCGAAACACAACACAGCATTTTCAAGCGTGTGTGATAGGAGCCAGGATGTAAAGCATGAAAAAAGGAACGTACCAGTGAAGCTCTGCTTCTGATTTCGAAGTAAAGGAAACGAAACCCTAACAGCTAAGAAAGAAAATTCTGAGAGCGAAAGAGAATAATAACAAAGAAAACGGGAAAATGGAAGCAGAGAGAGAGAGAGGGATGAGAGAGAAGCGGGGAAGAGCGGCGATTTAGAAATAATAAATGTTGACACGTCGTTTTGATGTTAGTACTATGCATGGAAACTGCAGTAACACCAACGTTTAAATAATAAAAAACAACTTAAACCACACACACACACAAAAAACAACTTGTAACTTTATATTTATTGATTTTAAGTATTTTAAAAGAAGGGTTTGTTCTTTGTTATATAGATGGGAAAAGTGTTTGTCATTTTAAATTACACAATTTATATCATTTTACTCTCATAAAGAAATGGGATCGACACTTTTATTTTTTTCTGTCCACTCTCTCTCCTTTTATCTATCTCTTTCTCTATATAGAAATGATACGCACTTTTTCCTATATAGAAATGTGTCTTTCTAAATGAAAGAAAGAGATATAAAATGAATTTTTTAAAAAAATATATAGAGTTATGTCATTTTAAACGAGAGAAAGATATAACAAAAAAATTATAAAAGAGAAAGTGAGCATTTTTTAATTTAAATTTTAAATAAAAATATTAAGTTATATCTTTCTCTCACTTAAAATAATATAATTATATGTTCTTAGAATGATAAATATTTTTTTCATAATAACTAATTTTTTATATTTTTCTTTTATGATATTTTATGGGAAAAATATGTGTGCTTTTAAGATATATAAATTTAGATCTTTTTAAGAGAGATAGACACAAAGAGATATGGTCTTACTGGAAAAAAAAATAAAGATATAGATTTTACTTCTTTATATCTAACTTTTTAAAAAAAAAATTAGTGTATATTATTTTAAATGACACATAAAAAAATAAAGTAAAAGGTCATTATATATATGTTCCAAATATTTAAAATCACACAATTTGTATCTTTTAAAATATAAAATAAAATAAATATGAATTATATTTTAAGCTGTTATCATGCAGTGACACGTGGCTATCTGCCTTTCCTTCCGGGCAAATCACGAAACGTTCCAAATCTTGAAGTGAACATGAAGTTTTTTGGGGAGCGCAGAGCCCAAACCAAACGCTACTAATATTAAACGACGTCGTCTCCTAAATATTCCGCATTTTGAAAAACAATTTCAATTTTCAACGCTCCTCTTTTTAATGAAAGCAGAGCAGTTATCTTCTTTTTCTTTTTCTATTAAATCCTTATTTAATACTCACCTAATGACAATTGATTCCGAAGATCGAACGCATTAAAAAAAATGTGCATGTTCAAAAAATGTATATTTTGTAGATTATTATTTTGGAAGAAAAATTATAACTTACCAAGTAAATTTTTAATTGTAAACAAATTTAAGTAAAATTTTATATATTACTTATTTTAAACACAAAAAATATTTTACTTAAAATTTTGATTTTAAATTTAGACTAGATCAAGTTTATTTTTCTTTAAAAAATTTTATAAAAAATAATAACAATAAATAGTAATAAATAAGGATCACTTATTATATTTAATAAGCTTTCAAATTTAACTAAAATAATAATTGACAATTAATTTTCTTTTTATCACCGAGCCCAAATCTTGGAGATTTATATTCACACATCAAATGAGCTTGAAGTAACAAATCCAGGGGCCAATACAAAAGGATGTGCACAATGACTCAAACAATTTTATTTTATTTTTTTAAATAAATTCAACTCGTTTAAACCAATTTGTTGTTTCAAAAGAACTGCTTTACCAGCTTCGGTTATGGAACAAAAACAAAGTCATTCGAACAAATGCAAGTTGAGAAATCAAGTGCAAGTATGCTAAACATTATATATATATATATATATATATATATATATATATATATATATATTTTCTCAAGTTGCTTGAGATAATTTTATCTCTCGCTATTAAATCATAACCGTACAAAAATGAAACAATTGTGATAAAGAAAGAGAGAGAAAAAGAAAATCATAATCATTTAAAGGTGAATCAATTAATATGAGGGAATAAATAAATAAAACGATATAGTTTTGGAGTAGCCGGAGATAAATTTATCTCAAGCTGCTTGAGAAATATTTCTATATATATATATATATATATATATATGAGGTAGGATCATTTGACACCAGTGTCAAATTTGAAATTTGACACCTCATCTCAAAGCCATTAAATCAAAAAAGATCAACGACTCTGATTTGTAAGCATATGACACCATTGATTTTTTTTGATCTAATGGCTCTCAGATGAGGTGTCAAATTTCAAATTTGACACTGGTGTCAAATGATCCTACCTCTATATATATATAGGAAAAAGTATTTCTATAGCCACTTTAGATAAGCTTATCTACAGCTACCATTTTTAACTAAGCATGATTGGTCATACTTAGTGATAAAAATAAAGCTGTTCTTTTTTTCTCTTTCCTCATACACTGTCGGCTGACATGGCGGAGAGAGAAAATGTAATTTTAAAGTATGACCGGTCATACTTAGTTAAAAAGGTAGTTGTAGACAAGCTTATCTAAAGTGGCTGTAGAAATATTTTCTCCGTATATATATATGACGTAGGATCCTTTGACACTCGTGTCAAATTTCAAATTTGACACCTTATCTCAGAGCCGTTAGATCAAAAAAGATTCATGGTATCACATGCTTACAATCTTTTTTGATCTAACGGCTCTGGGATGAAATTTGACACCGGTGTCAAAGGATTCTACCTATATATATATATATATATATATATATATATATATATATATATATATATATATATAATAAAAATATTTCTGCAGATAAATTATCTGCATTTATTTCTAAAATTACGTCATTTTGAGATTGAAAGATTAAAAAATTATAATTAAAAAAATTATAATAACTCTGAAATAAATTAAAATTATAAAAACACCATGATTTTCGTCCCAAAATGACGTTGCATTGGGCTTACTGTAGATATCTTATCTACAGTAACTACAGAAAAAACAAATCATATATACATATAAGTGAAAGAATTTATAAATTAAATATTTTAGAGATTTTGAGTCGAGGTGTAGTGTGTAAAATAACTTAACTGAATTTTACTTTTTTAAAACTATTTTTTTTAAAAAATAGTCCTCTGTGTTAAAAAAAAGAAACAAAACAAAACAAGGAGAAGTGAACTGTCCGTGATTGTTGCCCGATCAAGTACATGCAGCGAATTTCCAAAATATGTCAATTTCTCACCTTCGTTAAATAAATAAAGCTAACCATCAGCACTAAAGCATAAAATGGTAGTGCGTCTCAATAAATTTGAGTAAAATCTCAAAATGTTACAAACAAGGTTCTAATTATACAGTGATTCATAAACAAGGTTGTGGGGAGTGTGTGAACCATGGTTCTCTCATTTTATGTTGATTTTGATTATTTTCTTATAAGCTTGCTTCAATTCTCTGTTGTGTTAAGGTTATTATTTGGTGTGAGGAAATTCAACGTTATTTCACATTAAATTTTGGAATCAAGTAACATTCCTATTGTGAATTATAATCTATCAATAAGTACTGGGGAATAGTAAGTCAAACGCATCAACCTTTACCCTTTCGATAAGGTAATTATAAGAATCATCTCTTAGACTTTGTTTGGAAGTTAATTTTAGGAGGGAAAGGAAAAGAAATGGAGTGTTTTAGTAAGTTCTTTCCTTATTTGTGAGTTTAAGAAATTGAAGGGAAGAAATTGTGAATTTTTACTAAACCATTCAAAATCCTAATTCTTCTAAAAATAAAGTTCCTCCAATTTAGGAGGTTTAACGAGAAAAATATTAAAAATTACTTATCTACCCTTAGCATTAAAATGTGAAGACTACATAAATGTGAATCATTTTTAAATGTGACATTACTAGAAAAGTCTCAAATACTGACAGAATTTATCGACGAAAAATATTTCGTCAAAAACAGCGATAATTTTTTTGATGAAAATCATATACGTCAAAAAAATTTCATCAAAACTAAACATGAAACCAGATTTTGCCATAATCACTGATATAAGTTTTTTACGGAAAAAAAATTCAGTCAATATTATTCTATACGTCGAAACTTTCAACAAAAATATTTTCGTCCAAAATTTTGACAAAACACATTTCCATCGAAAATTCGACGTAAAACAATTACGTCAAAATTTTTTAGGTAAAACATTTCAATCAAAATTTTTGACGAAAAATATTTCCATCAAAATTTGTGACTCAACATTTCCGTAAAAAATTTTGATGGAAAAAATTTTTGTCAAATTTTTTTATGGAATCTTAATTCGTCAAAATATTTAAAAAAAAACATATTCATCGAAATTTTTGACTAAAAATATTTTCATCAAAATTTTCTATGAAACACATTTGCATCGAAAAATTTTGACGGAATAAAATTGCGTTGAAATTTTTTACAGAATTCAAATTTCGTTAAAAGTTTTCGACGGAAACATTTTCGTTAAACTTTTTTACAAAATAAATTTCTGTCGAAATTTTTAACGAAAAACATTTCTATCGAAAAATTTTGATGAAAAATATTTCCATCAAGTTTTTTGATAAAAAACATTTCCATCAAATTTTTCATTGGAACACATTTTTGTCAAAAAAATTTGACAAAAAAATATTTTCATAAAAAATTCTGACAAAAAATATTTCGATAAAAAAATTTGACGGAAAAACATTCTGTCAAAATTCTTTATAGAATCTAAATTTCGGCGAAAGTTTCGAATGGAATATTTCCCTCAAAATTTTTTACAAAACAATTTCCGTCGAAATTTTCGTCAGAATACATTTCCATTGAAATTTTGAACGGAAAACATTTCGTTAAAATTTTTGACGGAATTCTTTTTTTGTTTAAAACATTTGATGGAGGAAATCATTCTTGTCAAAACTTTTGACGGGATTTCGTCAAAAATTTCGATAGAAAATTTATTTTTGTAAAAATTTTCACTGAAGAAAAAATTCCGTCGCTTTTCGACAAAAAGTATTCCTACGAAAAAATAATTTTGTGGCGAAATTTTCATCGTTTGCAACGTAGAAATTTTATTAAAAATTTTAAATTTAATTTAATTTGTAAAATA